CTCCCCTACTTTTTCCCTACACTTACCCCTTTCTTTCTTGTGTTTTCCCTATTAGAGGGATTTGGCTTCGTGTCAAATTCTTTTTTCTCGAATATCTACGGAATGGCGCCGAGTTGAAATTCGAGGCGCCTATCCTCGGATTCCAGGAAATTCTCCGAATCCATCGATACCGTTCTCATCTTGATACGACTTTAATCGGTTGAGGTATTAATTAAAAACTGCGGAAACGTTAATTTCCGCGCTCACTTTTCCGAGTGACAACAATAAACTACCGGCGACACACACTTTAGCCGCTTATATATATAAAGATATTACAAGTGGAAAACCACGAAAACATCCTTGCAGCCAGCCTGTTCGCCCGGTTCAAACCTCGAACCGAACTACCAGTGTTCAACGTCTTAACCGTATTACAAGTGGAAAACCACGAAAACATCCTTGCAGCCAGCCTGTTCGCTCGGTTCAAACCCCGAACCGAACTACCAGTGTTCAACGACTTTACCGTTCGGCCGCTGGTGGGCCCCTAATTCCAAAAAGAAAATTTAAAGAAAAATGAGTTTCATATTGTACCGGAGTTATTTTATTAAGAGTTGTAGAGACGTTAGGTATTTTTAGACACAGGCAAGATGAAATATTAGCAAACGCCTTCGTCGGGAATCGAACCACGGACCTCTGGAATACCAGCCCAGTGTGCCGAACCACTACACCACGAAGGCACGCTAGGAAGACGGGAGAAATACCTTATATACTCCTCCTTTTAAAGGGCGACTGGGGAATTTAGGGGACTCAGTCGCCAAATCCTGGGTGAGGAGAATCATCATCCAACACCCTTTTAGTTCGGGCGGCACTGTAGAGACATTAGGTATATTTTTTGACGCAGGCAAGATGAAAAATATGCAACGCCTTCGCCGGGAATCGAACCATGGACTTCTGGAATATCGGCCCAGCATGCAGAACCACTACACCACGAAGGGACGCTAGAAAGGCGGGAGAAATACCTTATATAGTATATAAGCTTATATCTCACAATTTGATATTATTATAAAATTGTTGTTGCTGTTCTTGCTTCTTGAGTATGGTTGCCTGACTCTCAAAGAGGTTGGACTTCTATTTTTCACCGCATATTTTGAGGAAGAGCACCCCAGGGGATGGTCCGGGGGTCTCCAACCCCTCTCCCCTACCACCAAACCACACGAAAGGACGTTTGGTTCACCATATATTTAGAATGTTCCTATGCCACAAAGACACTATACATTTACAAACATCCATGCCTTCTCCTGGATTCGAACCTGAGACCTAACCACTATAACATCTGTGCGATTAAATAATGATAATAATAATAATAATAATAATAAAGTAATTTTGAAATAGAAATATTTTATCTAAAAAAGGAATAGCAGAATGGAAGTTTAGTTACGGTTTAGTTATAATTTAGAATATACGACTGTATATTATAAGACAAGTAAATGCCGAACCAAGTAATCGATAACAAACTGAATAGCTTAAAAATACTTTTTTTAAATCAACTTCGTTATTTTCACGAAGTTAAGCATTATTCAGTTCCATAACAAGAGAGGTATAAGTAAGCTCTAATAGAAAACATTTGTGAAAATAGTATATTGCACATTTCGATTTACAAAGCTCTACATTCTAGCAATATTTAGAATTTTTCAGTTTCTTACCAGCTTGTTATTATCATTATTTGTTCATATATACATCGTCCAGGATCAAATTTTAAACTATGTTAAGATTTCTGTTTATTTCTATTTTTCTAAAACGCTGTTACTTGTTTATTTCTCCCTTTAAATTATTAGTCCAAAGGGATTTGAATCCCGAAGGACTATTAGTTTCGTTTTGGCATTTTGCGTCAGACTCATAAATGTCGGTTCACTTTTCAAACTGTTGCCACAAAATGTTAGAGTCCTGCATTATATTTGAAGAAATTAAATAATGAAAATCTGCGTAAATGTATGTATATTTCTCGTATTGTCATAAAAAACAACGGTACATGGAGTCATCGAATTTTGAATAACGTAATCCTCCAACGAATATGAGCATGTGGAAGACCAAATTTGAAATTTGAAATTTGTTTTATGATCGATTTCCTATTTTTTAAAACTTTGACGAATTTTTGATTAACAAACTCAAGGATTTCAAAGCGAGCAATGGCAACGTTGTGCAGAAAAAACATTTTTATCTCCAGCGCGTGAGTCTCTGTATCGGAAATTCTAAAGATATGCTCGTTTTAAAACCTATTTGCGATATTGCTGTTGCACTGGATCTTATGGATCTTGGATGCACTGGATCTTTTAAGTGCGAGGAACATGATATTTAATAAAGAAAGGTAACACACAAAATGTTAAAAAACGCCCCTTTGGACGTAATTTAAAATCTGAAACATTTCAGATTTTTTTTTTTTTATTGTTTTATATTATGTTTTTACTTGGCAAAATACAAAACTTATATGTGTAGTTTTATGATTATATGTCTGATTATTCCACGTATCCAATGACGTCAAACCTCAAAATTCGATATAAACTGCCAAAAACAATAAAACTGCTGTGCTTGGCATTTAGAGCTGGGTGTTAACACTTGTGACATAGGCAACTGCCTTGGGCGTCAGTTAAGCTGTTCTTATCAGCAACAAATAACATAGGCAAACACTGTTGATGCACGCACTACTAAACTACTGCAAAGCGCTCTCGGTTTTGAATAAATTTTCATATTTATTCAAGACGGAGAGCATCTAAATCGCACCGAGCACCGAGAGGTTTTAGGACACGTTCTTAGTAAGAAAGTAAAGCAGTGGACAGCAAGCTCGCACCGGACAGAAACAAAGAAACAAATTCATGGTTTCAAATGAAATTTCAATAAAATCATGTTTCTATATTTTAACCTTGAGTTTGCAAAATAAAATTATTACTGGCTGAACCGTTATGTAAGTGCCGTCATTATCGTTGCGTAAGATATTTTTGAGGACGATTCATTTTGAAATGACGCAGTTTAGAGCGACATTTTATAAGCAGTTCTTAGAATAGAAATGGGAAATAACGAAATTAAAAAGGGTATTTAAAAGCAAATTGTAAATTAATGGTAATATTACCTATCTTTTATCTTACGTGTGTTTAACCATATCATTCTCGCGAACGAATAGATGCATAATAGTGAAAGTTGATTTATGAAGATTTAGATGCAATCGTAGCAGTTTGAGCACTTTTTTATCTTAGTGAAACAGTTTTGATAGAGACATAGCTAAATTGGCGCAAGAAGCGCACGTTTCCTTAGATGTTTAAACTGGTGCTTTTATTCTTTTGGGAATACCTGAAGGACGAAGAAGAAGCTGCGGACAGCACAATTGGATAACAGAGAAGTGATAGGGGGGGAATGTTACATATCAGAGTGTGTTTTACTCAGCTTACCCTACTAGTTGCTAAAACATTCGTTTCCAAGAATTAAAAATTATTATTGGCTGAATTATTTGCGTCATTAGCATTATGCAAGAATCAGAAGGATAATTTTGAGATAGGCTGTGTAAAGCGATTTACAGCTATTACTTTTAGAACGGAAATGGAAAATTGCCAAATTAAAAAGAAAGTATAGGCAGTATTGCAAATTAAGGTTAACGCTTATATTTTCATATTTTTATCTCACATATATATGTCGTTATGATTATTATTTTGTGTATGTAATTATTTCTCGTATTAAACATTTGAAATCGAACTACAAAATTCAATACACATGACTAGGAAAAAGAGAAGTAAATAATATATATATAGCCCACCAGCGGCCGAGCGGCAAAAGCCGCTGAACACTGGTAGTTCGTTCCGGGGTTCGAGTCTCGGCTGGCTGCATGGGCGTTTTCGTGGTTTACCCCATGTGTAATGTGGATACGAGCCAATTACCCTTAAAAAGACCTCCACGGGGCATCTTTGCCTTTCCGTGTAGTGCCTAAGGGTGGAGCACGTAATAAGTAAAAAAAAAATAATATATATATATATATAAAAAATCTGAAAGGTTTCAGATTTTAAATTACGTCTAAAGGGGCGTTTTTCTAACGTTTTGTGTGTTATCTTTATTTCTTAAATATTATGTTCTTCGCATTTAAACCATAAAATTCAGTTCAACAGCAATGTCGCAAAATAATTTTAAAATGAGCATATATTTAGAATTTCCGATACACAGTTCCGCGCGCTGGAGATAAAATGGTCCCCCCCCCGGTAGAATGTTGCCATTGCTCGCTAAATCTTTGAGTTAATCAAAAATTCCTTAAAGTTTTACAAAATATGATATCGATGATAAAACAAATTTCAAATTTGGACTTTCAGATGCCCATATTAGCAGTAGGATTACGTCATTCAAAATTGGATGGCTCCAGGTACCGTTGTTTTATCACAATGCGCGAAGCATACATACATTTATGCAGATTCTTCATTATTTATTTTCTTCAAATGTAATGCAGGGCGATACTATTTTGTGGGAACGATTTGAAGAGTAATACAGCCCTTTAAAGTTTTCAATACAATATCGCAAAACGAAAACAATAGTCCTTCAGGAACAAAGTACCTTTAGATTAAAAAAATTCGATCCTTATAAAATTATTATTCGATCCTTGTGAAAATATTATTCGATCCTCGTGAAAAGCATCCGAAATATACATCATTAACAAAAAAATCGCAGTTGGGAGTTTTACACTTAAAACTTCAAAGAAAACGATCTTACTGTGAAATGAATTTCTTATCTGTAAATATTAGAATTTAAAGAGAATGCACTCAAGCTCAAATCGCGGAAGTAGCCCACGATGCACAGCCTATTTAGGTAATTCTAAATGGCATCCACGCTCTCTTCAATCATTAACGCTCTCGAAATATTTAACGGCCCGGCACCGCTATTCCCAGACGTGTATTTCAATATTCTACCTTCACAAAAGAATCTTTTGAATGAACAACTCTTTTGAGAGACGCAAAGCAGCCAAGACGGCGTGGGAGTTGCCAGTTTGGCGATCATATTTTTTTTTCCTTTCTGTTCTCTGTTTTGATACTCCTTGACTTCGCTTTTATCTATTATCTTCATCTAAGAAGTGGACGCTAAAGGAGAAATTCAGACGATGTTATTAAGTTATCGGCATTGCTTGCCGCATAATTTGTTTTTATTCGTCATATTAAACTTTGCGTTAAAATTCGTCCGATTTGGTTATTTAGGTAGGAGATATTTGACCATAAGATGAAATGTTCTTAAAGTCGTTGGTAAGTAAAGTATTTATATTATAAAAATTTTTAGTAATTTTGTTTATTTATTTTACATTCAAGAAACGAAACAGTTTTATACCGCAACGCGTAATATATGAAGTTAGAAACAATGTTTCTTAATCATACTTATATTGCAATAGTTCATAATTATCAAGTGATATATTTATTGTAAGCAATAAACTGCAAATGTTCATACTTATGAAATACAATATTGATGTTTTTAACTGCAAATGTTCATTATTATCAAATAATATATTGTAAATGACTTCTGAAACTGTTTGTAATTATCAAATGTTATAATGTAAATGAATGATGCAAATGTTCATAACTATCAAACAATGCATTGCAAATGACTTCTGAAACTGTTCATAATTATCAAATGCTATAATTTAAATGAATGATGCAAATGTTCATAATTATCAAACAATGCATTGCAAATGAATTCTGAAACTGTTCGTAATTATCAAATGCTGTAATGTAAATGAATGATGCAAATGTTCATAATTATCAAACAATGCATTGCAAATGAATTCTGAAACTGTTCGTAATTATCAAATGCTGTAATGTAAATGAATGATGCAAATGTTCATAATTATCAAACAATGCATTGCAAATGAATTCTGAAACTGTTCGTAATTATCAAATGCTGTAATGTAAATGAATGATGCAAATGTTCATAATTATCAAACAATGCATTGCAAATGAAATCTGAAACTGTTCATAATTATCAACTGCTATATTGAAATGAATGACGCAAATGTTAACATTTATGAAATACTATATTGCAAATTAAATGTAAAATGTAGCATTCAGACGCAATTATTAGAAAAATAAAATGAACGAAAATTTTAAAAAATTATTAAGAAAAATTAAATTATTAAAAATGTGTGTACTGCTTAAATCGCTTAGTATGTTAAGCAATTATAATTTGATACAAAAGTTAAACATTTAATGTTATTTCTAATTGTAACGCTGCGGAAACCAGTAGCTTGAGAGATAAAGGAAGGATAATATTATATTGCTTGCAGTAAGAACAATTTCCAAGATGCTTAAATGATAAATGCATAGTAGCGTAATACTATAATGCAGTGTCAAGTCACGTAATGTAACCAAGCATACAGAAATTTTGGATAGACTCTGATAAAAACGCTGCTAGTGTCAATATAAAAATCTAAAACATATTCGATACAATTTATTTAATTCTGCCAATTCTATGTGCAATTTACTAGATGAAAGATCTTAGTTTATGCATGTAATTCATAATGAATGTTGTACTGTTTGTAATATAATTACACATATCGTAACTTATTGCAAAATATGGCAAAAACTCAGAATTTAATAATTTATTTGTACGCTAAAAAATCCAGAAATACTATATTTGTTTATAGAAAATTTGTAGAAACTCAGTTTGCTCATAAGAAGACCATTGCAAAATTATGTTAGTTTCAAATTACGAACTTGTTCGTCGTAAATCAACATATCTGTCTGCAACATACCATTGCAAAATTATGCTAGTTTCAAATTACTAACTTGTTCAACGTAAATCAACATATCTGTTGTGTCTCATTAATTTTAATCCTACTTCAATTTTACTGCAGTTATCTACGTTTATTCACAATAAAATATATTTTAGCTTTGGTTTTTCAAAAGCATGATATTGCAGTCATGCATTTATTGGAAATTTAAATCATAATTTTTTAATATTTTTTCTTTACTATTTCTGTCGGTTTTTTTTTTTTTTTTTTTTACAATTAGCTAGAATTTGGGCAGCAGCTTTATAGCGGAATGAATTCCCGCGAACATTTAGAGGAATTTTAGGAAATTTTCTGATTAAGCGAATATGAGATTTATAAGCAATATACATGTGACTATCATATTTCTAAGCAAATATCTAATAAATCGGCGAACTTTGAAATTACTTTTAAATGCCGTTATAATTATTAGATTATTATATTTTGATTTCTACTATAATTATTGGATTATTATTTATCATTATTTTTAAAATTCTATTATTTTTAAACTCTGCTATAATTATTGGATTATTAGTTTTTAATTATTCGGTTTATTGTTTTTTAAATTATATTATAATTATTGGATTATTACTTATTATTATTCTTTAAATTCTACTGCAATTATATTATTCTATTGTAATTACTATCATAATTGATTGCATTTAAAGCAAATTTTTCCTCTTTTCATTACAATTTCCGCAAAAATATACTTCAGAATAATATTATTCTAAAATCCAAACTGAACTATGAATACCGCAAATTTTGTTGGATTTATTTTAAATACAAATCTGGACATTATATAAAGTCATCCACCATTGCCTCTTAATGCCGGCAAGCACTTTCTATAATGTCTGTCTTAATGTAAAATAACGGTATTGAAAACATTTCCAGGATTTGAATGGTTTTTAAACACAAATTTCAGTTGCAATGCATAATGCAATTTGTGTTTTAATTGCGTACTAGTGTTCTGTGTTATTTCTCTAGTTCTGGTTCACATTCCTAGTTCTCAAAATGTGACGGTTAATCACGTACCACGAAATGTTTCTGTTGTTAGAGCAAAATTATCGGTATAAATCCCGGTCACGGAAGTTTTGCGATTTTAGATACTCACTTGGCAACTACCACGTGGATTTTGCTTGCTTTTTCTGCGATAAAATCACTGACCTAATTATCAGAGCCCATGGTATTAAAAACTATTATTTTCTGAAGAATGATTGCATAGCGCAAGTTAACTATTTTTTTTTCGAAAGCACATTTGTATAATTATTATTCGAATTCTTTTTCTCCATAAAATTTATTGAAACTTTTAATTAGGAATTAGTACATTTTATTCAGTGCCATATCTGTGCACTAAGTTATCTCCCGTTCATGCTCAATGGAAATTTTGCGCGCAATAATTCGTTTCTGAGAATGATTGGAAAATATTTTCGCAGAGAAAATAAGCTTCTTGTTTTTTGTTGTAATAAATATATCGGAATCGATAGTAAAGAAGTCGAAGATTGATCCCAACAAAGCAACTTTGCGAACTGCTTCGTTTTCAATCGTTTTGTCCAGTAATACTGCTATGTATTAATGGTTTTGGTTTATTTAATTATGGCTAAGCACACTAGGGCTATCTGCCGAAGGTGATGAATGCCTTCGCGAAGGACTTTCTAAAGGAAACTATCTCGTGTATAAGTTGCACATGGGAAAAACCACGAAAGCGCCCATGCAGCCAGCCCTTCCAGGGATTCGAGTCTCGGACCGAACTACCAGTGTTCAGTGACTGTACTACTCGACCGCTGGTGGGCACCTTTGTATTAATGAATACGGTGGTATATAGCAGAAGCCAAATGCAGAATGAAGGCATTCAGTCTAACAAAAAACTACACTCGAAAAGAAACTTTCATTATTGATTAGTTTGATCACCTTCTCAAACCGATAGGTCATTTAAGATTACAATTTAATAAAAAAAATATTTCATCATGATCTAAATATTCCGTATTATATTTTAACGAGAACTTTAAATTGGTTTGGTTTGGTTTATTTAATTACGGCAAAGCACACGAGGGCTATCTGCCTAAGGGGAGGAATGCCTTCGTGGAGGACTTTCTAAGGGAACTGGCTCGTATATACGTTCATGGGGAAAACCACGAAAACGCCCATGCAGTCAACACGTTCGCGGGATTCGAACCTCGGACCAAACTACCAGTGTTCAGCGAACTTTACCGCTCGGCCGCTGGTGGGCATAAGACTTTAAAAAAAAAAGGGAAGGCTTGGCTAGCAAGCAGATGTCAAAAATAACACTCGTAATGTACACACACACACACATAACGAAAAACCCCGAAAACGCTTATGCCGCCAACCCGATCGCCGGTATTCGAACCCCGGACCAAACTACCAGTATTCAGCGATTTTACCGCTGCGGCACTTGTGGGCATATCCTTTGTTAGATTTTTCTTTCTATCGCCATTATTTTGTTTGCGGAGCTTAATATTTTTAAGATAAGGGGTATCCCGATGAAAAACATCTTCTTGAGTATGACTACCATATGAATGCCTATAATACTATGATTAGAGTATTTCAACTATTTACTAGAAAATTAAATAACTTACAGAAGAAATATTTTAATATACGTAAATAATACGTTATTAACATTGAACTGCTTATAACAATAATCAGATTATTTTTGTAATGCATATTTCGTGGAAATTATTCACTTAATTAAATTTAATTAACTATATCGCCATAAATATTGAGATTTACATAATTTATTTCACATGATACCTACTACTGAAATATTCAGCTCCCACATTTTTATTGGCGTTTTTGGCAATCTGTTATACTATTACAATTATATGTTATGGGTATCCAAATATCTTACATCTCATCTGTGCTAAGTTAATTCTGCAGGTGTTATTTATTTGTATTTAAATTATTTTCCATCAAAGCGGATCTAATTCCTCAGCATTATTCATTAGACAGATGTTTAAGTAAAATATCTGAAGCTTTAATTATTAATATGGAAAGATATGCTTTCAAATCCGGACTTTAACATTATTATCGCAACGATGGAGCGTTAATAGAATTGCCAAACCTCAAATAAAATTTTCCGTGTTGCATAGAATCGATTCTCTACAAACTTCTCAAGGCTTTATAATAAAATTTCGGTTAGAATAACAATAATAACATAAATTTGATAATCAATAACTTGCAATTATCTGATTTACCGAAATTATTTTTTAAAAAATCTGAAAGCTTTCGGATTTTACATTACGTTAATAGGGGCGTTTTTTTAACGTTTTGTGTGTTACCTTTATTTATTAAATACCATGTTCTTCGCACTTAAACCATAAAATTCAGTTAACAGCAATATCGCAAAGTAATTTTAAAATGAGCATATCTTTAGAATTTCGGATACACAGTCTCGCGCGCTAAAGATAAAAAAAGTGTTTTTATTTGTCGTTCAGTGTTGCCATTGCTCGCTTTGAAATCGTTGAGTGTGTT